CCAATTAAAAGTACAGTGAGTGCACCTAGATGAAGATGCTGATTTTTTTCTGGTGAGGCTTTCTTGAAGCTTCAGGCTTGCAGATGGCTAAGTGTCTTGCATCACTCATCTCTTTAACTCTGATTTAACAGATGATACAAAAGCCCTTCAGGTAATGTTTCTGTGCCCCCACTCCCTTTTAAAGTGCAGTGCTCTGCAGACTTCATGAAAATAGTGCTTTTTTTTGGTTTTGAAAAACTTCTTTTCTGCAGACATTGATTTGATACAGAACTAATTTTAGTATCCTTCTGATTTCATACATTTTTTTTTACACATTAATAAGATTAATTTTTTTTAACTTCCCTGCTTGGTGTGTCTTCATAATGTGACATTACTCCAGACTCCAGTAGTCAAGTCTCTGTCTCCAAAGGCTAGCTTGTAGCACCACGTTGAAGTACCTCAGTTAAGGAGTTTGTACACATTAGGGACTAGGACTAAAACTGTAATTCAGCTGCTACTGTAATCCAGAGTGGCAAGTCAGAATGATATGAGCTGGGCAATGTGTGTAGCTTTGAATTTGCACCATTTTAATTGCAACAGCTGAAAACAGATTTGTGTGCAACCCTCATCTTCAAAGAAAGCTTAAAAGAATCTGAGTTTGGCACCCAATCTAGTTAATCTACCATCATAACTAATGATTTCACCATTCAGACGTAACATATCGACCTTAAAGGATTTTTCTTTCATAGCTGATGGCTTGATACCTTTTAAACACTAATGCCGAGGGTATAATCTCCGTGAATAGTGTAATAGTTTTATATTTAAAGTAGATTGGGGATAAAATTTTGTGTTTTCGTGTCAGCCATGAACACCAGTAAGGTATTCAGGCAGGCATTACCTTATCGTACCTTTGAGGGCACTTATCAAGTAATTTTTATTGGAAAGTTAATACGTTGAGACAGAGTGAATGGGAAGCTGATCAGAATGCTGAGGCGTACCCAGCACTGCATTGCCTTCGCTGCCCGCAGGTCTGCGGCGGGGGCTGATTCATTTACCACATCATCCGAAATCATGTAGCGTTCAGTACCCATTAAAATTATATGAAATTGTGTGTAAGAGATTTCTCCGTGCTGGCTCGGGAGAATCCTCTCCTCCTCGCGGCTGCAGTCCCGGCGGGCACAGCACAGCCCCACGGGCTGCAGGTGTTCCGCCTCACGGGCACCGGGACGGCCCCAGCAGCCAGGGGAGTCGCTCAGGATTTAATTTCACGCTTGTGTATCTGAGTGTGTGATCAGTCCCTTTGTCTTTTAATCGTCTGTGTCTGCACGTCTCAGGCCATATATTGTGGCATTCATTTCTCCTCTGCCGTCAGTGCCGGCACGATGTGTCAAATGAGACCTTGCAGGGCACGGGCTTCTGCTGCCCCTTCTCCTCCTCTCTGCCCCCTGCTCTGTGTGTGTGTGTGTTCCACCCCTCTGATTTGGCTGCTCCACGTTGAGCCTTCCTGGAGCGTGTTCCTGCCCCTCCTGTTGTGCCGATTTCCACTTCCCCAACTTTTGCAGGGTTCCCAGAAGATAGGAGCCTCCCCCTCTTTGCTCCGTGTGGGACCAGCCCGTCTAATTGCTGGCTTTCCTCCAGCATCCAGCTCTGCAGGAGTGGAGCAGGAAACCACTTGGCTGCTCCCCGTGCGGGAGCTGTTAACTGTCTCCCAGCCGAGAAAGACTGTGGAAACCTCTAAAGATCAGTGCTAATAAACTTAAATATTGTCTCCAAAACTTGTTCGGATGTTAGAAATACTGGAAGACGTCTGTTGATTTTGAGTCACTTATTTGCACGTAGATCTTCTGATACTGAGGAGTTGGAGCATTTACAAAAATGGATAAATGCACTCTAATGCCTGGAGCTGAACAGAATATTTTAGCTGTATTTTCAGTGAAAGAAGCAGATGTGGTAACACCAAGATGCCTGTTTAGGTTTCATTGGTGATGTTGAGTTGTTTTGGTCAGGAGGTACATCCCCAACCTCCCCCAAAATCTGAAAAAAACAGTGATTCTACCTGAAAAACAGGATGGTTTTGATGTATGAAGCACTTCCTTTTTTTGAAATAACTTGATTTGAATGCTTTGGCTCTTCCAGACTTTTATCTGAAAAGTCAGTGTGCGCTCTGTTTTGTGCCTTGCACCTCTTGAGTGTGAGAGAGTCCATTGACCCCAGTTGACACCAAAGAACAAAAGCACCATGAGATTGAGTTTGTGGTTTCCTGATGACTTTACCAGTATTAGATATTGCCAACAATAGCTGTTTGTTCCCACAGTGTTTTCTTGGAGTGTTTTTGTGGCCTCATGAAGTGCGTGGCTGTGCTGTGAACACAGGGGAACGGAGCCAGCAGAGGGAAGAAGGTGGTGTCGTGTCATGATTTTTGAAAGACACAGACCATTGCATTTCCAGTTCACAGCATGGCCAGGGATCTTGACCTATCATCCTTTCCCCAGAGTTTCTGTAGCTACCCAGTAAACATAATTGCTAAATCTCTAAATTGCTGGTGACTACTGAATTACTGCATGTTTTAAGTGGACTATCGATGCTGATGTTGGGCTGTCTAGCGGTGATGCGGGATTTTATTTAGAACAAGATGTTCCAATTTGTTTCTTTTTCAGTCCTACAGAAAGTATTTAATAGTATAACCAGCAATTCACTTCCCATAGTTCTCTTGAAAAATACTTGAGCTCCCCTTCTGGTTTGTAACATCCTTGATGGTGGAAATAAATCCGTGTACAGAATGGCTCTTCACCTTTCATAGGCATAAATAAGTACACAAATCTATTAAGTGTCTTTGCAGAAAACGAAAACTGTATATTTTCATAAGAATGTCAGGTTTATAATTGCATAAATAAGATGCTGACTGAAGCAAATGTTCAATTTCACATTAAACTTAGGCATTCATAAAAGCTTGGATTTGCATAATTTAATTTTCTCACAGAGGGCACTGAAAATCAGTGGTATGATTCATGGCCATGCCATGGTTACCGTGAGGCCTTTTGATGGTTCCAGCTAAAAGTACAAAGGTGTTTACAACTTCACATGTTTTGCACTGACTTGGAGCATTTGTACGTTCAACAAACATAGATTATTTAGACACAGCTTCTTTCTCCGGAGGGTAAGGCACGCAGAAGGGCTTGTGGAGAAGATAACTGCAGGAGTACATCATTCTTTGGAGGAGGCAGTGTGCAACTTTCCTTCTGCCTGGAGGACTCAGATTTTTTGGGCAACGAAAATCCTTCTTTGTATAGAAGGATGCTCAGAAGAAAGCTGCTGTTGTAACAAGGAGGGAGTTCGGGTGTATTTCTCAGCATATGTAATTTTTTTAAGTGAATAATTGTGGGTTTGTTTTTTGTTTTGTTTGTTTTTTGTTGTTTGTGTTTGTTTTGTTTTGGGTTTTTGTTTGTTTTGGTTTTTTTGTTCGGTTGGTTTTTTCCTGACAACCTTTCCATCCGTCCACCTAGGCTATTCCTGTGTTCTCTTCCTTGAGATTTTCATAGTCTCTAATCTTTGCTCAGTTTTTTTGTCGAGTGTTTGGGTCTTCTCATGCCACCTGTTCTTTCCTGTTGAAATGAGTGCCTGTTGTCTCTTAACCATGTCGACATATAAAAGTAAATTAAAAAAAAAAAAGGATGAAAATAAGATGTTCAATTTAGTATTTTTAAAGAGGAAAATAAGGTATGTGAGGTGGTGTTGCCTGTAAAACCTGGTAGCATGATGTGTTTCCAAGTGTTTCCAGTTCACAGCTTGGAGTGAATTAGCATTTAGAAAGCTGCCAAGAAATCTGGAAAACTCATTCAAATTGCACAATTAGTACCTTTGCTCACACAAGAGAAAAATCAGGCAGGGCCAAACCTGGACTGCCTTTCCTGAAATTGCATGATTTTCCCTACGTTTTCAGGGTTCCGAAATGCATAGAAATCCATGATCCACGTTGCAGAGGGAAGGTTGTCCACAGAGCAGTTTGGCACACGTGGATAGCCTTGGCCTCAGCAGGTTCTCTGCTACTGTGGTGCAAGGGGGTGTCTCCCAGAAGCTTTTTCAAAGGGAAAGAAAGGCAAAGTGAGTAACTGGTGCATGATGTTCAGTAAAGTCCCTGTTCCAGACTTCGTTTCAGCCCAGCTGTAATTGGCCTGGGAATAGAAGGGAAAGCAGTGCTTGGTGACTGCATATGGGTAGCAGTGCTTTACATGGTTTTCTGAAGTTTTAATTTGAATTATTCAGCTGGTTTCTTACTGATCAAATAAGTGGTTTGGGAGCAGTTGGACTTAAATTTCCATAAAGCCATTTGGTGCGTGCTTGTTCCTCACATTCCACGTCTGTGGATATGAGGTCTTTTCTGTTTGTGTGCATTTATTACAGCACAAAATTTTTCAGTTGTGCTCTGAGAAAGGTAGTTGAATTTATTACGGACTTTCTGCTGGCATTTGTGAATTCACACACCTCCAGTTCGGTTCAGTCAGGTGCATTGAAATAATAAGCAAACTTTGCACATAAAAAGCCCAAATATCCCACGTCCTCATGGAAGCAATGCATTCCTTTAGAAGAGGAAAAAAAGAAAATTATTTGAGGTATAAAACTCCAATAAAATCCTGGGATGGAATGTAGGATGGGTTCTTTTCTGGTTTAGTTGATCAATTTAATACCTTCTAGCTTGTGGAGTTCTACAAAGATCTCTTTACTCCTGCCCTCTCCCTTGGTCACACGTCATGGCTCACACTTGTTTGTTCGTGTGCATCGGAATTTCCTTGTGGAAATTATTGGAGTTGCACAGAAAGGTGCCAGGCCAGAATGAGGGCACTGGTGAGTCCTGGTTCTATGAATCACCTTTGGGTGGCGGGTTTTGGTCGGTGAGGAACGTGCCTGTTCAGTTTTTTTGAGCAATACCAAGTTTGTAGTCTCTGCTTAGCAAAGAGCTTCACAGTGTAAACTCCAGGGAGTAAATACCACTTTTTTAACAATGCCTGCTTCTTTTTTCCCAGCTCTGACTGAAGGTTATGTTGGCTCTCTGCATGAAAACAGACATGGGAGTTCTGTGCAGATACGGAGGCGAAAGGCTTCGGGGGATCCTTACTGGGCGTACTCGGGTAAGTGAGTTGTCTTCTTCAGAGGACTGAAACGTGAAATTTCTCCACAATCAAGTTGTTTACTTGCTTTTTATTACTATTGTGCTCAGAAATAGTTTAAAGAAGTTGAACAGTGTTTTTTCTTCTGGCTTCCTTGCAAACTTCCGCTATACCCATTCTCTCCTTTCTTGCATTTCTGCCATTTACCTGAAGGATTTGCCTTATTATTCTCTTCCTTCTCTCAGTCTTTTAGTTTCTTAACACATCCTTGGACAGGCATACTCCCCCAAACTTCTCTTTACTCTCTTGGTCCAATCAGTACATTCCCAAGCTCACCATTTGCTTACTATATTAAGACTGTAAATATCCATAAATATATATATATTCAGATTAAAAAAAAAGAAATCAATCCACCCTAGATATTTTACAGTTATTTCTTTCTGTGCATGTGCAACAATGAGACCTGCCAGTGCATCACACCAGGATGTGTGGTGCTGAAAAGGTAGGATATTGGTTTGTTGTTTGTCCCGCTGCTCTTGTTAGTCTTATGGAAGACCTAATGTGTCTGCACAGTTTTGAAATACCATAAATAAAAATGCACTTGAGAGTGATGTTTTTGATTTGCCAGTTGGTTCGTTCAAGGAAATTCCAGTTCTGTATTTGAAGCTGTTAAAAGAAGCCTTCACCTTGAAATTGTGTTAACAGCTATGTTTACTCTATGGAAAATGTCTGATAGCTAAAAAGTTTTTGTAAAGATTTCAAGTATTATATTGAACTTTTGTGTGCTCTTTTTGAAGCTTTGAGATGTATTTCAAACATTAGTTGCTTGTCCAAGAGGGATGTTGTGCAGGGCTAGTTCTAGTTGAAGGTGAAATATTGCTTTCTGAGAAGTCTGAATATTGTTACCAGATAAATATGCAAATGTTACTGTTTAACTGCCAACGCCTCTCTTTTATACAGACCATTTATTTTTTTGGAAATGAATGCTTTTAGGTAAGCTTAGAGGTTCTTTTCCATTAATACACATGAATTTTGTCTATTAGATCTCGAAATACAAGCTATCTCATTTGCAAATGAAGTCACACAAGTAAAATAAATCTAAACATTTTAGTAATGTAGCACAAATAACTGTTTTTTGTTAAACTTTGAGATTATCAAATGGACAAATATTGCCCCAAGATATACTTCTATATTGCAACCTAAAATAGCTTTTCTTAAGATTTTAAGCTCCAGAATTCATAAGGAGTATAAATAAGCAAATAGAAGAAAAAGGTGTATGTTGGAATGGATGGCCTGTTCCTATCTGCTGTCTTGTGTAAAATATTTTAAATTAAGTGCCACTTGGCAGCTTTATTTTGTTTCTGTTACTGCAAAATGTGTTTGAAATAATAATTTCAGGTAGTTAAAAGAAAATGTTTTAAAAAAGGTAGAACACTAGTGAAATTATTCTGTTGTCATATGTGTCCAAAACTCTTTGCTTGAGTTACTGGTTTTTTCTTTGTTTGTATTAACCAGTCCTGATTTAAAAAAATAGGAAGGAGGACCCTTCCCATTCTGCAAAACAAACAAAACCCCCAAACAAACAAAGGCAACAAAAAGCCAGAAATCCACCATACACCAGTTTTTGCATGGTGAAGTTTTCCTAATTCTGCCTTTGTAATGGTCTTCCTTTATGATTAATATCACTTGTTCAACCCTCTAAAAAAGCGATTACCACACATGAATCCTTTTAGATTTAGGTCAAAAGAAAATGTGTAGTCCCTCTGTGTAATTATGCTTTAGCTTTTGGAGTTTTGCATTCTTTTGTCTATTGATAAATCTCCTGCTTCTACGAGGAAAATAGTCAATCTTTTTCAGAGAAAAGATAGTGACTTTGCAGCTGTCAATCCTGTGCCATTTGACCTGATTAGTGCTATCTAATTAGCATTGTTTTTGTCACTATTGCTGCTAAAAGGCATAAATTAGGAAATGGAAAAGGTGGAAATGGTAAATTTACCAGCACTTGTCAAGAAACCACACAAGGATATAAACCCATTTTCTTAGGAAATGGAAGTGAGTGACTTGAAGTGACATTCCAGGGGAATGTGGTTTGGGACCAGGTATTGCAGCTGCAGAATCTAAGTCTTCACCAGAGGTGTCCTGTGACATGAAATACAGGTGTGTGTGTGTGTGTGTGTGTGAGCATCCCAGGTACTGTGTGTCCCACCTGGATGGACATAATCTGCATCTGAGCAAGCCCCTCCTGGCAGGGGATGGAGATCTGGTGTCCTCCTGAGCCATGTTGTGGTCTCTGCCTGCAAGGAGGAGCAGCTCTGCCCTGCTGAGCCCCACACAGGTGCCTTGGGAGCAGGAGGGACAGGACCATATGCTGACTGTGGATGCTGAGCTGCAGGAGTAATTTGGGTTGCGTTCAGGAGGGAAAAGGCATGAGTGAGTGTAGAGTTGGGAAAGACATGGTTATTTCTAAAGGAATTTTCCATGATTGATCATATGTCCTGCAGGAGTGTCAGTATTGCCACCATCTCCCTGAGAAAGGGAGAAAATCAAGATGAGCAATTAGGTGGGGAAAGAAGCCTGTGCTCCATTACAAATGGGATGTTTCTACAGGCTGCTACTTTGTCGTGGCATTTTATATATCACTTGGTTCCTTCCATCTCCTTGAGGGACTCTCAGCCTCCCTTATCTGATGTCTTTTGTCCATATTTGCTCACTGAGGGGACCAGAGGTAATGAAAACGCTGAGTTTCTGTGTTTAGGTTGAAGATGGAAATAAATGGTGGGTGGCAGAGCCCAGATGCCAGACAGATGTTTGTTTCTAGCTGAGCACAGTGAGGAGGATGATCATGTTATCTGTTTCCTCATTCCCCAGAATATTTCCCAGGAACCCTGAGCAGGGCTTGGCTAAGCAGTTTATGTACTAACAACGTTTGTCCTGCGGGTAGGGTTTTGGACATGACTAGGAAGTTTACATCAAATGAGCCTACAGAGAGGGGAAACTTCACTCTGCAGTAAGCAATTAGCCTGTGTCAGTGGTTTCCAAGCTCTTTTACAGACATTATCTGGTAGGCTGCTTCCCTTCCCTATCCTCAAATGGTCAGGCCAGCTCCCCTCTGGTTATTTGTACAACAGCTGCTGGCCCAGCCCCAGCAATTATGGGCAGGGAAGGAGGCTGTGCTGGGCTGTGCACTGGTAAGTCTGGGGTTTCTTCGAGTGGAATTTGCCAACGGGAGTAAACAAGGCCAGGACAACTCCTGACATCGGTCAGTGGACAGCTGTCTGCTGAACCCCAGTGCTGAGCAGCGTGCCCATGTCTCTGCTGGCCTGTGTTAGGCTGAGCTATGGCTTTATATTGATTTCAATTGAGCAGAACTGATTTACAGCAGCACAGGCCTCTCTGCGTTTATGGCTGTGCCTGCCCTGCTTTTGCAGAGCTTTTGTATTTTTGGGCTTAAGTGTTCTGTAATAAATCTCGAGGTGGGGGTGGAGAGGTCTGAAAGCAAGCAGCCGCTTGTGGTTTTCCTGCCTGGGGGTGGAAAAAGGGCACAGCCATGCTGCAGAGAGCCCTCAAATATACATCTTCCACAGGATATATCTGTCCTGTACTGTCCTTTTAGAGTAATTCCTCTGCAGGCTGTAGGAAGCCCTTCCGCTGCTCCAAGTTCTTGTGGAGGGTGAACAGTCCAGAAGCTGGTTTAAACTCTGGAGATCAGGAATTTTCCTGTTTTCAGGAGTGATGTATAGCATTGCCCTGTGCTGCCTGGTCATATTGCTTCTCTCAGGCACGAGAGTTTAGAGGGGATAAACTTCAGTTATTGATCAGGAATCAAACAGTCCTCAGATCTGTAACACTTGTATAAGGCACCTACATACCTAAAGGACTCTTACTGCATTTCCCCTGGACAAAGGTGCACCACAGAGCTCTCACTGCACTGTCTGGTTGTAAAGGAAAGGATTTTTAAGCCTTATAAAATAACCCTGTTGTCTACAGACACAATTCTGACCATAACATTTTTTCTAGTTCAGAAATAAAACTTGCAAAAATGAAGACTAGATAATTAAATGAAGAAAACCCATTTTAAATGGGTTCTGTCATAAAGACAGCAGGAAACACACTAAGCCCTTCAGAAGAAACTTTGTTATGTCTGTGCTAACATCTCTTTAAACCAAATTCAGAAGTGAGCAGACACTGAAAACAGAAGCCTAACTTGTCTTTAAATAGGAACTGCAAGATTGAACAGAAACTGAGATCTCCTAGATGTTCTTTTTAGGATTTTTCAGGAAGCTCAAACTACATTTCTAGGGGGAATTCTCTGCGCATGTGTATTCGTGTATGTTTTGGCAAAGTATTTATTCCATGATTGTGTTCTTACAGTTTACCAAAGACTTCCTAAACTGGGACTGGCCACATTACTTGCAGTTAACAGAAATGTGGAATAGACACAGCAGTGTCACAGCAAGAAGTAGGTGTGGATCCTGAATGTGCTTCAATGCAGCCTTTACTTTTCACAGTCATCTTTTTTGTTAGGCCAACTGCTGAATGGGCCGTTTGGAAACGATTTTTAGCACATCCTTGTAATTGCTGTAAAACTCAGGATGTTTCTAATACCCATCATAGTGACAGGAAGTGGCAGTTCAGGTGCCTTTTCATCACTGTGGAAATATTTTCGTAAATATTTAAACTGGTTTTTAAACAAAAAAACACAAACAAAAAAAACACTTGAAACCAAAACCTACAGAAATACGCAGTTGAAACACGTACCAGATCCAGGCTTTTTGACCAGCCCTCCCTTGTGTAATGTATGCTTCTTCACAGAGCATTATATGCCAGACATTTAAAGATGCCTCTCAGTGTCAAGTGTTTCATCTGTCAGTGCTGAGAACACTTTGCTGGTGACCTGAGCAGACCCTAAGTTTGCCTTGCAGTAGCCCAAAAAAATGAGTAGCTGGAGGGTCAGGGCTTTAGGAGGAGATTACAGAAAGAGATGCTGATGCAAATGCTTGTACCTTAAGTGACAGTAGCTC